GGTTTTTTCTGAAAAATTGGAAAAATTGAAAAAAGAAAAGGAAAGAAAAAAATTTGATTATGGAACATTTTATTTTAACATGATGAATAAAATATTTTAGGACAAGGTGTTCAAATATTTTCCATATCATTTCTAAAAAATAGGTATGGTATCAGATTGATCTAATTTCTGTGCACTGAGGACAAGCAAGTCCTAGGTTACAAATATTGATTATGGAATGTTTTATTTTAACATGATAAATAAAATATTTTAAGACAAGGTGTTCAAATATTTTCCAAATAATTTCAGATTGATCTAATTTCTGTGCACTGAGGACAAGCAAGTCCTAGGTTACAAACTGAACTCTCCAATGCAAGAACAAGATGCATTTCTTCCTTTAGGAGGTGCTATTGACACAAGAAAAGAAAAAGGTTTCAGGGGTTTTTTTGCATGTGGGTGGATATTCTGTTTGTAATAATTGTTTAGATACACTATATTTTTAATATGCTAGTTGTGATAATTTCATGCCAAGCAAAAATGTCCATAGTCATATTTTATGTTCCTAAAGTAACAGAATGACTTCCAATCTGGAAAAGAAAAAAGATTTTGCAGAAAATTTCCTTTTTTTCCCGAGTTTCAAAATTTTTGGAAACTTTACATCTCTAGTTGTGCTCTGGGGGTCAGCTGTGCCCCCCTTCTGTTCCACTTGCCTTAACGGTGCCCAGATGTCCAGCTTGCAGGGGACACCTGGCACAGCCTGGCAGTGGGGCTGCTTCCGAGCTGAGCCAACGGTGGGAGGTGTTGAGAGTTGTGCAGCTGTGGTTCAGTGAGGCAGTCTTGGCTCAAATCCCTGCCTGGCTCTGAAGCGCAGTACACGGACTTGGGCAAGTCACTCTGCCTCACAAGACTGCGATGAGGCTCCCGCGCGGTTCTGAGCTCCACGAGAGGAGGGTGGGTAGGACAAAATGCGGCACATCATAAAACACGTCGCTCCTTTTCCCTCTTCAGAAAGTACAGGAAGGGAATTCTGTGAACTGGCCTTGACAGGAACGCCAACTCCAGAGAAAGGGGCCATTTTGTGGACAGAACTGCCTGAGCTTCAGGACCGTCATACTGACCACTGCTCTGTACTTGCATCCCTGCCTCCTCCCAAGGAGGAGTGTAAACAGGGAGCAGCCATGAACGTTTCATAGCTTTATTTGACATCCAGTGGAAGGACAAGGTCAAGCAGAGGAAGCCTTTTCTAGATGCCAAGAAAAAAGAATTTTTAAGCATTTGTGTAGACAAAACAGGGAGTGAGGGAACACTTAATGCTCCGAGGCAAGCTCCAGGTTTTGGAGCGTCTTGGGGAAGGTGTCCTCCAGGGCTTCATTCGTGCATTTGTGTGTTTTCTGGAAGAGCGAGTGGGCCCTTGAAGCCCCCTGCCAAGGCTAAAAAGAGAACAGAAGGGCCAAGTGCTTTTCCATCCACTACACCACCTAGCGGGAGAGGTGAGCGTGCAGGGATGGGGGGGGCACAGAGGATGGGCCACACCTTTCTGTTCAATGCTGGGCCCCTGCAGATGGCTGGCTGTTCCAGCCCTTGAGCATCTGCTGTTTATTTGGGGGTAGCCATTACGTACAAATGCTCTCTGAAAACAGCCCTTTACAAGGTAAGAAAGTGCAGTCAGCCGGGATTGACAATGAGGGGGCTTCTCATCCAAGAACAAACAAGGATGTTGAAAGGCATGTTTTTAACGCAGCCGGAAGGGGGAAGAAACAAATTGATCTAATCTTCACTCAATTGGGGAGGAGCAGAAAGTTAGGTGCAAGAGAAGTGAGGGGAGCAGGAGGAAAGTGAGATGGAAGAAGGATCAGAAAAATCCTCAACATTCTCAAAAAAGGAGACATGGGGGGGGGGGGGATGCCAAAGGTCATCGGAATAGGAACTGGAGAGAAAGCAGCCCAGTGTCAGGACCCCACAGCATACAACGTAGTACACACTTGCAAGAAGGTTTTACTTTATTGAAGCCATGAAGCACTTGAACAGAGGCACTGTTCAGAATAACGAAATGTGCGGTGCAGAGTAAGATAAAGCAGATTCATAATGACAGAAGCCAATCGATATGATTCCCCTGCGCACGGCTGAACGGCCCGGCTCGCGCCCAAACCCTGAGAAACAACGGTTTCTTAAGCATAAACAATTATACTATTCCCACACTACTGCTCATTAAAGACTAAGCAAAGCCGGCTGCACTTTTCCACCTGTGGCCTTGGCAAGATAGCATTACATCAAAGCAAGTCTAGCGTTCACGGAAAGGAATGCAGGCTAACTAAAAATGTGCGCATGAGAGTCTGGGTAGACATGCGCATGGGAGGCTGAATACATCCACTCTAGGGATGGGGGAAGGGTATACTTAATCCAGTTACCGGAAAGAGCCATTGGCAGCTTGCTGACACCCAGTATGCCTGTAAATAGTTTTTTGGGAAGATTCTGAGAATCTCCAGTGCTTTTATAGTTGCTTTTTGTGATGGGAGGTAAAGGGCTTTTGTTTGTATGCAAATGTTCAGACTTTATGTTGATTTGGAACCAAGTCGGAGTCCAGTGGGGGCACCTTTAAGGCCAACAGAATTTCATTCTGGGTATAAGCTTTCATGTGCAAGCACACTCCTTCAGATACATTTAAACAGACTTCCTCAAGCCTTACGTACGGTACAGGAATTGGGTGGGGTTAGTTGCCAAGAAGGGCTAGTTAGAGTCAAGATGCATAAGTAACTGAGCAATAAGAATAGCTAAGATTGGATTAAAGCAGTTGGTAAGACCTGTGGACAGCAGTAAATGAGCATACAAATAAAAGAGTTAACAAACAGATGTGAGAACTAAGTTTGAGTCCAGGGGCACCTTTAAGACCAACGAAGTTTAATTCTGGATATGTGCGAGGACAGAGTGACATAGCCTGGGTTAACTTGGTTTCTCCCAGTAGTCTGCTACAATTGCCTTCCCAGCAAACTGACTGTCATTAAATGCTTCCCCATTTTGGGGACTATAAACTTCCCTTTAAGGCAGGTGTCTTCAGGCTTTCCAGATCCAGCCTTCAAAAGATGCAAGTCAATTTTTAATTAGTTTAAATATTTGTCCCTTACGTGTATACTTTCTCCTCTCTTTCTCCAGGACAGCTCAGACAATGTGAGAGTGGTTTCCCTGAGGGTGCGCTGCTTTGGCGTCCCTGCTAAAAAACGTTTAAATGGCTGGGCTGAGCATATGTGGTTACTTGGTCACATTGTACCTGAGAGCGGGTGTGTTGTAGCAGCTTGAATGGTGGACTTGGCCTGGGGAAATCTCACTAGAGGGCCCTGGGCCAGTCGCGCCAGTCCCTGCCCCCCCCCCCCCCCCCCCGCCTCGGTCTAGCCTGCCTCACAGAAGGATGTGAGAATACAACGGAGGAGCAAAAAGCCATGCCCGCTGCCCTGGTGGTGGGAGGAAAATACGATTTAAATATTAATTTTGCAATTAAGGTAACACAAGGGGTGGACCCGCGATACTCGCGGGGTGGGGGGGAGGGAGGCAGAGCTCCAAACTGAGCTCCAAACTCAGGAGGCGGAGGAGGAAGCAGCAAGAGGAGGTAAGTCCCCCCCCATCCTGCCGGTTCCTCCCAGCGGCGGCGGCAGCGTTCACAGATCGTTCCCTGCGCATGCGCAGGGGACGCTCTGTCAGTTTCGGGGGGGTTTAAACATCCCCCCGATATTTTTCCCGGGGTTTCAGATTTTTGTGCACACCTGGGGACCGCCCCACGTGTGCCCAAAAATCTCTCTCCCCCCCAGGTGCCCCCGATGTGTGGATTTAAGTATCCACACACCAGGGGGCGACTTGAGAATTAGATATACAGATGTTTTGTTTGTTTTATGTTTCAAATTAATTGCATATTGAAGGATTAATTGTATGTTGAAAGATTATTCAAGTATTGCAATGTTTTCTTGTCAGCTGGTAAACAGATACAGATATGGATAGAGACAACCCGATTTGGGTGAAAAGGTGGCGGAGTAGGGGGGATGGGAAGCAGAGCGGGGGTGGGGGGGGGGAACAGAATCAGTGGGAGGGGGAGAAGGGGCAGCAATGGAAAGTAGGATCTCCCCTTCTTTGCATGGCCTTGTGGCTCTCACTTGTCATTTTATAGTCTAAAGGATGAGCAGCTAACTAGAACTTACTTCAAAGCAGGTTTTTAGAAGAGAGTCCAAAAGATTCCCATTTTCAGCAGCTGGAAGAGCTGAGTAGAGTCTTCCGCGGTGGGGGGGGGGCTGCAATTCAGGGGCTTTGCAGGTGGGAGGACATCTCTGGACGCTGAGCTTGGAAAAGCATCACCTAAAGCCCTGGGAAGCTTGATGCGTCCACCCTTGGATGCCAGAATTCACTCAAGCCAGGCCAGTTAAATGAGTAATGAAGCACGGGTGAGTCTACTAAATATGAGCTTATTTGGTGAGACAAACTTGAAAAGCCCCCCCCCCCGTTAGCCAAATTGCCTTAATTTCTTATTAATATGGGGAAAGTTATGATTATTAATTGGCAATAGGCAAATTAGGGAGCAAACACCGATGTATACAGATGTCCCACCTTTTCCAGTAGTTACCAGTAATAGACACGGAGACTGGATTCAGTATAAAATGATGTCTTTTACTGAAGGAGACTTCTCATTCAAACAATACACAAACGCACACACTCTTATACAGATTCTAGGAAATAAAGATAGATAATAAGCACATTCGCATTATTCGTTGTTTGGGCAATAGTTACCTGTCCTTGCTGAGTGAACTGTTCCAATGGAAGAAGGGAGGGGAGAATTGGATATAAGGAATGTGTCCTGAACCGGCAGAAACACGTGGGACTCTGGCTGCAGACCTAGAGTCAAAGATGGAGGGAGGGTGTTAGGATAGCAAGCTGGACATAAGAGGGATAAAGCTTAGATAGGGGTCATAGAGAGAGAGACATGTGATCGGGTATCACCATTTATAAGGTGGCGTGGGGGGGCAGGCTGGACTGGCCACATCCCCATGTCACACCTCCTGTTAGTCCGTCCCTAAAAACATACAAGTGGTTAAGATGCTGAACTGCAGGCTGTGGAAGGTCGGTAGTTCAGCAGTTCGAGACCCGGGTGCCGCATGACAGAGTGAGCTCCCGTCTCTAGTTCCAGCTCCTGCCAACCTAGCAGTTCGAAAGCAAGAAATTGCAAGTAGATAAATAGGTACCACTTCAGTGGGAAGGCAATAGCGTTCCGTGCACCTTGGTGTTTAGTCATGCCAGCCACATGACCATGGAAACGTCTTCAGACAGTGCTGGCTCTTCGGCTTTGAAACGGAGATGAGCACCGCAACCCTAGAGTCGGATTCGACCGGCTTTCGAGCAAGGGAACATTTACCTTTACCTTTAAAAACATACTATTAGGGTAGAAGGAAAAGGGGAGGGGAGCTAGGGAGTGGTCAATATTGCAAACTAGTAACTCAGACTGGGGACTGGCACCTGGATGAAGAGGAAATGAGTAATCGGTCTAGGGCTATTGTCTCTGGATGGTCCTAGCTGAGTTGTTAATGGGCAAGTGATTAGTTGCCAAGCAACCATGTGTAGATCCTCTTGGTTACATGCAGTTTTGCAGGTAGATGGAGGGGGGGAAGGGGGTTGTGTGTCAGAGGGAGCTCCTTATGGTGTTTGGAGCTCTTTGTCCTTGTGCCTTGGCATGGCATGGCGTTATGCAAGCTAGGGAACTGGTCCATCTCACAACAGGTAAGAGGGCAGGTAACCTCGAAGGACCACTGGAACAGCAACGCAAAAGGAAGGTTTTCTGCTCTCAGGTGTGCAATCTCAACTGGCATCATATTGGGTCACCATGCAGTACCGTCCCTCAAGCATATCTCTGCACAGTCCATTTTTATCACTTATGAGTTATAGTCCATAGGAGCACATCAAGTGCCTTGCAGGGCAACACCCCCCAATACCATAACACTGGACTCCAGATTTGGACCGTTCTCATGACTACATTTAAGCAGCAAAAGTGTTGTCATGACGTTCGTCTCGGCTTTACTCTGTTTTGTGTCTTTATTCAGGCAATTCTGCACATTTTCAGAATGCACACAGACAGTTGTTACCTTAAAAAGAAAATGCCTGAAGATTTGTATCAAAGCATCCTTCATACACAAGAAACGGTAAGTGTGTATGTCCCATATAATCAGCAGACTCTTCTGTTCCACTAATTTCTCCAAAACATGTCATTTTAAGCCCCTGTTTGAGCAAAGGATGTGCCCAGCCACTGAGATTTCTTTCTAAACTCTTGTTCTTTATGGTCCCTATGGCACAGGTTTTTTGATAAATGTTCTGACCTGTCGCAGTTAGACAGTTGAAATCTGTGCAGCCTGCTGCAAGGAGAAAAGGCACTGAGATCACTGAAAGATACAAGATGTTCTGGAATGCCATTAATTCAGCTGAGTTAATGAGTGCTAATTACCATCTTTTTATCTTCTGCTGTGAGTAGGAACAGCAGCATAGAAAGTGCAATGCCATCAATACCGTAAGTTGTTAATGAGAACACATTTCTGCCATGGAATTATGGTACTATGTGCTTGACCAGAATCCACTTTTCAGGGTAGCTTTCATAAAAACTGAATTCTAGACATTTACAAGCTAATGTTCAAGATAGATGGATATACTGTAAATACTTTAATAACCAGACCCTAACATTTGCATGGGTCTGCGGTGGCTCAGAGGTTAAGACGCTGAGCTGCAGATCAGAAGGTCTGTAGTTTGGCAGTTCGAGACCCAACTGCCGCGTGATGGAGTGAGCTCCCGTCTCTGGCCCCAGCTTTTGCCAACGTAGCAGTTCCAAAGCAAGAAATTGCAAGTAGAGAAACAGGTACCACTTCAGTGGGAAGGTAACACTGTTCCGTGCCCCTCGGCGTTTAGTCATGCCGGCCACATGACCACGGAGAAGTCTTAGGACAGCACTGGTTCTTCGGCTTGGAAACGGAGATGAGCACTGCCCCCTAGAGTCGGATTCAACAGGCTTTCGAGCAAGGGAAACCTTTACCTAACATTTGCAGCACTAGGAAATGGCACTTAAGAATGCAGGGCGCTGACCTTGGAGGCATGGCAGTCTTTGTATGGTGATAGGATGTCGGATTACCCGTGGGCAGACCCAGGTTTGAGTCCCTACTCAGTTTTCTTATTTACTTATTTTGGGTGACTTTGGCCAGTCTCTCCCTCTCTTTCTCATCCTAACCTACCTCCTAGGGTTGTTGTCAGGACAAAATGGAGGAGAGGAAAGTCACCCATGGCAGTGTATGGCTTCCCCTGTATCACCCTCCACAGACTGCTTCCTCTTGGCAGCCCCCATCTCCTCACTGTTCCCTTCTTCCTTCTCTCCTTCCCATATACCAGCTGACCTGCCTTTCACCTGCCCGCCGTCTTCGGCTGTGTTTATTATTTATTTCCTTCATTTATGCCCTGCCATTCTCCCCAGTGGGGACCCAGAGCAAATTGCATCATTCCCCTCTCCTCCATTTAATCCTCACAACATTCTTGGAGTGGCGGCTGGTGAACAATACCCAAGGAGCCAGTCCCGAGTGAGCCATGCACATAGGGTGGTATCAGGTCACCCAGTGCTGGCTAGTAGGCCTGGCTCCAGTGGTCATTTTATAGAAAAACAGGTGCAGAAGCTCCTCAGCATAACTCATGAGCAAAAACAGGTGCAGGAGCTCCTCAGCATAACTCATGCCACACCCCCTGACATCACCGGAAGTGTGTCAGAAGGCAACACCCACTGCTCAGGCTCCACCCAAAGATCTCCAGGTATTTCCCAACTCAGAGAGAGAGATGGGGAGGAAGGAAGGAAGAGAAGGAGGGAGGGAAAGGAGGCAAGGAGATGGAGAGGAAGGAAGGAAGTTGAAAGAAAGTAGGGAGAGAGGAGTGGGAGGGAGAGAGGGGAGAGCTGGAAAGAAGGCAAATAGATGGGGAAAGAAAGGCAGGAAGGAAGAATCAGAGCCCCTGGTCTCACTTTGCAACCTTTTACAACAACCCAGGCAGGTAGGCACGCCTGCCTCCTCAGCCAAAGAATCAGAGCCCCAGTCTCCCTTTCCATCCCTTTAAAAGGCAAATCCCTTTTAAACAATTCCCCCATACAGCTGTGACCTCCACAGCAGTCAAAATACACATATGACAGATATACACACAAACGAATACTCTTATTCTCTATGGAACATCTAACCTGGGAAGCAAGGCAAGGGACAGGAAGTGAGATGAAAGCCATAGACATGGCACTGATAGAAAGAGAGGAATATACGCGGTGTAAATCCCACTGAATTCATTGGGACTTACTCCCTTACCGCTTGCACTCCAGTTCTCCCACCCACCCCACCCGATCAACCCCCC